AGAACTCACCCTGGATGACCTCATATCCTTTGTCCCCTAGCACCCTGGGCCGTATAGTCTCACCTTACTGCCCCATCACTACAGGCTGCAGCTACAAGGGGGCCTGGGCCAGGAGGATCAGGCTCACACACTGCAAGGGACATGTACCTGCAACAACAGTTGGGGTGGGGGGGAGGCCTGTGAGCCTGGGGACAGCTACATAAGGCATACCCTGGGTGACTCCACCCCACACTCATGCACGCCACCTGGTCTCTGGGTCCACCTTGACCATCTGGTGCCGATGGCGCTGCCGGTCCCAGTACTCATCCAGCCGATGAGATGAAAGGTGCATGATGTGACAGGCAAGGCGGCTTGGAGTGCTAGGGTCAGGTGTGACCATGATGTTGAAGCACTGCATCTCAGCCCGGCCCCCCGCCGACACCACATGAGCAGTTAGGCCTGGCTGAGGATCTTGAGGGTTACCTGGAGTGCCAACACCCCACACAGCCACAGTGCGCACTGATGAGATATGGTTGCAAACAGCCGTGAGTGCATGGGCTGCACCGGTGGCCGTGGGGAGTGCCAGTACACAGACAGTAGTGTCTTCACTGCCTGTGATCACGATGTCAATCAGGCCAGGCTCCTTGCTGCCAGGCTCCAGGTGGTCAGGCTGCACAAAGCTGGGCACCTCAAATTCAGGCCCCAGGGTGATGGTGCCCACACGTTTTACACACGTGATCTCACGGCCATGGAGACCCTCCCGAAGAATCACATGTGGCCGGTTACAGCCACCCAGGGCCCGGTATAGCATGACATCCCCATCCTTTAGGTAGGCGAAGGCCACAGCAGCTTCAGTATCGGAGAAGGCCCAGGAACGGTGACCGCCACCACAGTTGACAATGTGCAGCTTTTCATGTGACCGGGGACTCCACACCACAAACTCATTGGCGTGGAAACCCAGGATGACCATGCTCCCATCAGCCACCATTCGGAGTCCAGCCAGCCAGTTCATGCCTCGACAGGACTTCTGCCGTAGGACTGGCTGGAGCTGGCCACCTCGCACAAAAAGCTGATAGTAGGCACCATCACGCCCTGTGCTATACACATAGCCACCATGACAGGTGACCGAGGTCACACCCTGCTTCCCATGCAGTGAATGGAGGGTGGACACAGGACCCCACTCAGCTGAGGTGCTCCCTCCCTGACCACTGCCACCATTCATGCCCAGTATCCCCGCCCCACCCTTGCCTCCAGCCCAAGGGACCTTGAGTAGACCTGGTCTGGAAGGAAACAGCAACACAGAGCCCCGGCGGTCACCGCACACCAGGAAGTCACCCGGGGGCAAGAAAGCACTGCATGTGTGCCATCTCTGCTTACTTGGGGGCAGCTGGTAGCGGCAACGTTCTTTGACAAAGATGGCTTTGCCAGTGGGTGCAGCTGAGATCTCCAGACACGCCACCACCCCACTGGGACCTGATGTTAGCAACAGGAGCTCCTCGTATCCACGAAGGGCCCAGCTCAAGCTGTGCACCTTCCCCTGGAACAGGGTCAGATCCACAGCGGCAGTTGGAGTATTGATGGGGACAACCTTGACAAGACCCTCCCCATTGGCCATAGCACACAGCCCAAAGCCCTCAGGCCCGGGGGCTGCTTCCAGCAGGCAGTAAGATTGGAAGCGCTTGTCCTCCAGCAGCTGCTCCCAACACTTGACCTCGAGGTCATAAAGGTACAGGGCTCCTGTGTCAGTTACTGCCAATACTCGCCACGAGCCAGCCAGTGTTACAGCCTTGAGAGTGCCTGCTCTGTTATGAGACTTGAAACAGAGAGCTGAGATTCCTGAGCCCGGGTACCCACGGCCTACCAGGTGCCACAGCCGGATGCCTGAATCATCACCTCCAGTGATGACCCAGGCCTGCTGCTCATGGGCAGCTACAGCTCGGATCCCACGGCCCTGGTGTCCCCGAAAAGCCTGGAGGATCTCACCTTCGTGACTCCATACCAGGCAAACGCAGTCTTCTCCTGCACTGATAAGGTAATTCTCCAGGAGTTTCACCTGCCACACACGGGCACTGTGCCCAAAACAGTGCCCAATATTCTGTACTCGTCCCCCGGGCACCCGTAGGTCGCCCACCTTCCAGATGCGGACACTTCGGTCTTCTGAAGCTGTAGCCAGCAAGCCCTTGCTTTCCAGGTATGACATGCTGAAGATGACACCTACATGCCCACTGATCCGCCGGTCAGGTGTCACAGGCTCATTTTCTGAAGAGGCTGCTGGGTACCAGACCAGAAGCTCGTTGGAAATGACACCTGCCACCACAGTCAACTCCTTCCAGGTGTTTCCAATCAGACAGGCTGAGGAGAGGGTACACCTGTCTGTGCAGTGTACCTCCTGCAGGGTGCGCCCAACCATGGGGTCATAGAGCACCACTGAATTGTGGCCCAGAGCCACAGCCACATTCTCCTCCAGCCAGCGTGTATCCCAGATCCAGTCTGACAAGCTCCACAGGCCTGAGCGCCAGAGCTCCCGGAAGCGGCCCTGCCCCCAGCTAACTTTCACGACTCGGAGCCCCTTGCTCCCAAACACGGCCACCATGGCTTGTGAATCCAAGTCCTCATCAGGCCCTGGCCGCACCCGGAATCCATGGATAAGATAGTGGCCAAGCAGGTTCTGTACTCGCTTCATCATCCGTAGGTGTCCACCAAAGTCCAAGCTGTACACCAGGATGTCCGGACCCTCACCTAGACAGAGGCAAAGAGCTGCATCAGAATCCCCCTCCTAATGCTGATTACCTGTAGGGAACGGACCAACTAGCCTGTAACCTGTAAATGCATTAGGACTTAAGATCCTACAGGTGTGAACCTCAGAAACTCCTGGCCTCAATTCCAGCTTGATTTTCAGTGTTGACTTTCAATGCCTCCAGTCTGCCACTTGAGTTCAGTTCAGCCATGAGATCTTTAAACTCTTAGCCTCTTCATCCACCTCACTCTCAAGCTTCAGACTATAACCACTTCAGCCTTAGTCCCCAGTCCTCAATCTCACGTACCTCTGCATGAATCTTCCTTCCTTGTGTATCTCCCAAAGGAGAGCTTGTCCTGCTAAGCCCATGCTTAGCAGGTCAATGTCCATAATCCTGATTCTCAGGAGCCTCGCCCCTGTATTTGAGAAGGTGTGAGCATGTTCAAAACCAATTAAGAACAAGGAGATGGGCCCAAGTCTCAGCAGAGGCTTGCACTTGGGTGCTGGCCCTGTCATTGATCCACAGTATGAGCCTCACTCCTAGGTATGTAGGACTCGGCTCAGAGAGCCCCAGAGCATCAGTAACACAAAAGGCTGGCTGGAGGAACATACAAGACAGACATCAAGGGCACAGGCCAAAACTGGCACACAAGAAAAACAACAAATAATATAGACTATGTTGTTGTTGCTAAGTTACCATTGAGTCAGTTCTGACTCATAGTGACCCAGTCTAGGGTTTCCAAGGAACAGCTGGTGAGTTTGAACTGCCAAAATTGTGGTTCAAACTGACTTTGCAATTGTGCACTTATCCTATAGCGCTATACCAGGACTCCAATTTAGACTATAGAAACCTCTTTTCTTGCTTCATGATATGCATTCTTCTTGTCTTCCTCACCTTTTCCTGGGCACATTTGCTCTAACATACTGGTACTCCTGGAGTCCTGGTGTGGCGCTGTGAGCTAATGTGTCAGACTGTAGTCATTTGAACTGCAAGGTCGGTGGTTCAAGCTCACCAGCTG